ATAGGGTACCTGTAAAAGCCGAGAGGGCAGAAACGTGAGCCTTCAGAGTAGTCACAGACAGACCCATATCCAGTCCCGCTTATTCCAATAAGTGGCAGAGTCTCAGGGTAGCTGGAGCAAAGCCATTCCTGTTTGCAAATTCCACAAACTTGTTCCATATCCTGCTAGGCTGTGTTGGTGCTGTTATTTCTGGCTCTCATCAAGGTATCTGTGACCTTAGTCAAGCATCCTAGATTGATCATCCTTTGCCTTTCAAGCGACCGGGCACATACATTGCTGTTAGCAGCTGTAAGTTGGCATGGGCCCATTCCATAATTGGAGTAACCTCCCTCAGGAGGGGTATGCTGCATGTGCCCACCGTCTGTGTATGTAAACTACTGCCATTGTATTGTCCAACTTCACCAGAACGAGTGCATCCTGAATGAGCCTTTGGAAAGCCAGGAGTGCTTGGAATGCTGCCCTCAATTTTAGAATGTCGGAAACCATATTGACAGCCCAGAATGACCACTGGCCCTGGGCCCAGTGAACTCTGCACAAGGCTGCCCAGCCCGCACCGCTGGCATCCGATTGGACCACCTGCCACTGTATCTCAAGTAATGAATGGTATAGTAGGAGATTCTGCCGTCTCAACCACCACTCCAGGCTCATTCTCATCTTGGAAGTGATTTGCATCTTCTGCCCAAGATCCTCGTATATCCATTCTTCTAAGAGCCCCACCTGAAGGAGACGTGAATTCCATTGCGCCCATTTGACCATCGGAATAGCCAAGGTCATAATTCCTAACAACCACATACATTCTATTGCAGGAAGGTAGAGCCTCTTCTGGGCTATTGACATTGTGTTCAGGATACATGACATTTTGTTTGTTTAAGAAAAAATAAAAAACCCAGAGGTGATTAAATACCACCAAAATAAAGCTCTATCTGTCACAAAAAAATGATAAAAATTTCATATGGGTACAGTGTTGTTTGACCACGCAATTGTCATTCAAAGTGTGACACCGCTGAAAGCTGGAAATTGGCCTGGGCAGGAAGGGGGTATAAGTGCCCTGTAGGCTAGCGGATCTCAAACAGGTGCTACTAAGTTAGATTAATGAGTGGAGTAGAGGTGGACTTTTTAAAGGCACAGTAACAGGTCTTTGAGAGCCAGAATTCTTGCTGTTTCTTAGGTGTTCAAATACTTATGTTCAGCAGTGCAAGACAAATAAATTCGTTAAAAATCATACAATGTGATTTCCTGAATTTTTTTTAAATTCTGTCTCTCAGAGTGGGAATGCACCTACAATGTGAATTTCAGACCCCTCCATGATTTCTAAGTGGGAGAACTTGCAAAATCGCAGGGTGTTAAAATACTTCTGTTCCTCACTGTATATATATATATATATATATATATATATATATATACACTATATTGCTAAAAGTATTGGTCGGCTTGCCTTTACACATGTATGAACTTTAATGGCGTCCCAGTCTTAGTCCATAGGGTTCAATATTGAGTTGGTCCACCCTTTGCAGCTATAACAGCTTCAACTCTTCTGGGAAGGCTGACCACAAGGTTTAGGAGTGTGTCTATGAGAATGGTTGACCATTCTTCCAAAAGCACATTTGTGAGGTCAAGCACTGATATCGGGCAAGAAGGTCTGGCTTTCAGTCTCCGCTCTAATTCATCCCAATGGTGTTCTATTGGGTTGAGGTCAGGACTCTGTGCAGGCTAGTCAAGTTCCTCCACCCCAAACTCGCTCATCCATGTATTTATGGACCTTGCTTTGTTCCCTGGTGCGCAGTTATGTTGGAACAGGAAGGGGTCATCCCCAAACTCTTCCCACAAAGTTGGGAGCATGAAATTGTCCAAAATGTCTTGGTATGCTGATGCCTTAAGAATTCCCTTCACTGGTACTAAGGGGCCAAGCCCAATCCTGGAAAAACAACCCCACACCATAATCCCCCCTCCACTTTACACAATACAGTCAGGCAAGTACCGTTCTCCTGGCAACCGCCAAACCTAGATGTGTCCATCGGATTGCCAGACAGAGAAGCTTGATTCATCACTCCAGAGAACACGTCTCCAATGCTAGAGTCCAGTGGCGGCGTGTTTTACACCACTGCATCCATCGCTTTCCATTGCACTTGGTGCTTGGATGCAGCTGCTCGGCCATGGAAACCCATGAAGCTCTCTACGCACTGTTGTGCTAATCTGAAGGTCACATGAAGTTTGGAGGTCTTTAGCTATTGACTCTGTGGACAGTTGGCGACTTTGCAGACAGCTGGCGAATGTGCTGACCCCGCTCTTTCATTTTACGTAGCCTACCACTTTGTGGCTGAGTTGTTGTTCCCAGTTGCTTCCATTTTGTTACATTACAACTAACAGTTGACCGTGGAATATTTAGTAGCAAGGACATTTCATGGATGGATTTATTACACAGGTAGCAACCTATCACGGTACCACACTTGAATGCACTGAGCTCTTGAGAGCGACCCATTCTTTCACAAATGTTTGTAGAAGCAGTCTGCATGCCTGGGTGCTTTATTTTATACACCTGTGGCCTTGGAGGTGATTGGAACATCTGAATCCAATGATTTGAAGGGGTGTCCCAATACTTTTGGCAATATGGTGTATATTTCTAGAGATGTGTACAATGGAAACATTTGTTTCTTTTTGGTTTCATTCACTAAATAGTATAAAGTAAATCATTTTCTTTCATCACATTCAGTTTGTTAGAATGATTCATTTCTGAAACGTTTTCCTGATACATTCGAATCTCTGGTTCACAAAAATTTCGTCCGAATTTGGATTAGAAACAAAATGAATTACACCTGTCTATATATTTCTCAATCAATAAGACAATTACTAAAGTTCTTATAAATATTACATTCTGCCAGCTGTACTGACACAACAGAAATTGCCACCCACACTTTTTTTTGTGGTAATGTGATAATCTGATTATATTTTTTTGTTCAGGAAAGAAAATAGACAACCTGGAAACAGAAATTCTGACCATTAAAAGATCTGTCGGTAAGTCCTAAGAAAACAGTAGGCCATTTGTATAACTGCTTTTACAGCAACTCGGCTGGGAGCTGTTGCCACATCCCCCTTACACCCCGGTCACATCAAGCCCGACTTTGAAATCGTGCGACTAACAGTGAAGACTCACAATTTCAAAGTCGGGGGACCCACCGGTTTCAGGTGCGATTTGCAAGACACTTGACACAGATGCCTATGCAAATCGCATGAAAAGTAGTGCATGTACTAATTTAGAAATGGGTACGGCTCCGACGAATTCGGAATTGCACCGATTTGACCGCTGTAATTGCGGACAATAGGGTGTGACTTGGCATATGATTTGCAAGTCTCATGGCATGCAAATAGCATGCCAAGTTGCACCCAGTGCGACCAGGGTGTTATAGTCCGGACCTCGCTCCGAGCGATTTCCACATGTTTGGACCCCTAAAAGAGTTCCTCCGAGGTCAGCATTTCAGCACTGATGATGAAGTGAAGCAGCCTGTCCTTGGATGGTTCAGGCGTACTGACAAATCTTTGTATGCTGAAGCTTTCCAGGCATTAGCTAAATGCTGGGATAAGTGTATAAATGTAGCAGAGTATGTAAAAAAATAAATGCAGTTTTCACTGCATTTGTTCTTTTATTACATAAACTCAAAAATCTCGGTTTGACTTGAATGCCCCTCATACATTATTGTCTAGTCTTCACCAAATGAACTGTTTCCTGCCTACTGTCAGATGACAGTTGAGCAGGAGCTCTCCCATCTTGGGTGGACGTCATTTGTCATCCTGCATCTATACCATTCATAATTTAAGCAGCTGCAAAATAACTAAAAGTACAGTGACCATGACCACGGGCATATGTGGCCATGCTGCATCCACATCCTATGTGGTTGCCATCCAAAATGAGGTGGTCAAGTGAATAATTTATACCAATTCATACTATGGGGGTCATTTATTAAAATTGCATGGTGGAAAATCTTGTGCAGCTGTGCATGAAAACCAATCAGCTTCCAAGTTTTTTGTCAAAGCTTAATTGAACAAGTTGAAGTCAGAAGCTGATTGGCTACCAATCACAGCTGCACCAGATTCTGAGTGCTCCAGTTTTAGTAAATCTCCCAGTAGGTGCAGGAACTCAACCACAACACCACAACCCCCCCCTTCCACACACACACACACAACCTCACCCCCCCACACCGTATAAAATAGTGGGAGGGTCTTAAAGGGGCATTAAATACCAGGATGTTCAGGGGTTACACACAGAGTGCAGAGCTCAGGGGTGCACTATGTACATAGTGCAGAGTTCAGTGGTGTGCTGCATACAGAGTGCAGAGTTCAGTAGTATGCTACACACAGAGTGCAGAGTTCAGTCTTCTTCCAGAGCTGTTTACCTCTGCACCCCCATCCTCATCTCACTTTCACTCCTCTTCAGCTCTGACTTCTACATGCAACCCCCCACCTCCACTGCCCTCACCTTACCCCTCCTTTTTTAAAAGCTCCACCATCTTCCACACTTTTGTTGCTGTATTAAGCTGGACCACCCGGCCAGCTCCAGTACCTCCCCGCACATTATAGATGGCTTTACCCCTCGCACTTGCAAGGAGATTATCCAATGGGGTTTTCACATCTGTATTGCATCCCGGGCACCTGCATCTCCCTTGTCCCCATCCTGCACTCAGTGGGAGTCGCTCTGGAGATCAGATTTGTGGGAGCCATTGGGAGACATGCTGTCACTTGTAAGCACAGAAGCTGGACTTCTGTGTTTACAAGTGATATTGGTGAGCAGGGAGCGAGGACCTGAGCCAGAAGTGGTGGAACTGAGATTCACCAAGTTCCAGCTGAAAAAAAAAGCCCTGGTAATGTGTCATTGAGATAAACTTTTAAGGGTACCCAGATCCCTTTCTCTTCTCCTTGTCTTCTGTAAAGGTCTCTGCACCATCTGTCCACCTGACTGGATCCTCTTGGGCTCCACTTGTTATTATCTCTCCAAAGCCCACAAGAAATGGGAGGAGTCAAGGAAAGATTGCATTACACGTGGCTCAACTCTTCTCATCCTGAAAATCAAGAAAGAGCTGGTAAGAGATTACCAATCCAGGTGACTACGTCGTATATCTTTTGAATCCTCTTTTGGAAATTTCAGTTCCTGGGTCTGCACAAATCCTGTGGCGATAATGAGGGTTTCCACTCTCCTTGTATTTTTTTTTTTTTTATGTACAATATATTATGAAGAATGAAACAGGAGGAGCTAGAACACACACATGAGTGACAGGAGCACCCAAAACTCACAGGTCAACAGGGACAGAGTCAGGAATTAGGTAGTACCAGTACAGGTTCATCCAGTGCCTATGGCAAGGATGCAAAACTGCACCCCCTTCTAATGAATGCCATAGGTGTACCACTGTGTGCCCATTATTTGCCTCCTTGCTCCAGCTGACCATGGTTGGCACGGTGTGTGAACTGCCCCTGCATGGCCAATTACTTGCTTTCTTGAGGCTAGAAGGTAGTTGCACATGCACAATGAGTTTTTGTCAGCTGTGAGTTGATGGGGTGGATAGCATGTATGTTGGCGTACAGTGTGACAGCAGTAGCTGTCAGTGCAGACATGAAGCTGTGGCCCCTGGTTGCTAGCCACTGATCAACTTGCATGTGGTGAGGGGGCACCCTCCCCTATAGCAATGCCCTGGGCGGCTGCCCCTCCAGCCCACCCCTTGTCACGGCTCTGGTACAATGGTATAGGTGGCATTGTTGACTCTTGTTGGAGAAAGGCACTATAAACTTTCCTATCTGCACCTTGTGTTTTTTACCTGCATAGGATGTCCATTGATCATGTAGTTTTATGGTGTTATTTGTAGCTGTGTATGCACAGCCTATAATAAAGTAAATCTTCACATTCCGGTTTCAGAAGTGTTTGTATTCAAAGATGATGCATGCGGCATGGCTCTGCACAGGTTAATGCATGACCTCTGTCTGTATTCTAAGGGCTCAAGTACACTGCAGCTGATAAACTCACGTTTAGGAGCTGTTCAGCGTTTTTTTTCCAGCAGTCTCTGAACTCACCCTAATCACCAGTACACATCATCTATATATATTTCTCAAAAACAAAGCACACCAAATAAAAACCCAGAAAAGTAGTCTACCTCCACCCTTGAAGGTTAAAGATAATAATAAAAAACTTTTCTTAAAAAAGTCCAAAATCTCAAAACACACCCCACTTTTAAAAACAAATATTCAATAAACAAATGTTCAATAAAGTCTCTTTTATTCTTCTTTTCCACGAAAAAATCCTTTTTCTCAACACCCGTACATTCTGATGCCCATATACCTCAAAAAGAAAAAACTTAACATAGTGTCATACCTTTTTAGAAATCGAAACACACGTGCCCTTAACAGTGCACCATGCACTACTTGTGAAAACACTCAAGCAAACAAGAAAAAAAAAAAAAAAAAAAAAAAAAAAAGAAAAAAATATATATATATATTAACTCTCTATGTGAATATCAGCCTATATTATTAATATAGGTATCCGTGTCACCAAATCTATGACCAGTGTGACAAATACAAATCACATCCACTATGTGAGTCTGTGACACTTATGACACTGCAACTTCGTGACACCACACTTGCAATAAGTGATCAAACACACATCCCCAACCAAAACCGTGATCTCCAACTCCTTGTGTAAGATGGATAATTTACCCTCTATAACCACAGACAGGGCTAGATATAGATCTCCTTAGCTGTAGAAATCCATCCAATATTAGGTCCAATAAAGTATTATATCTTCCATTCTCCTCATAAGAAAATCCAAGTTACATATGGTAGATTCAAATAAATGACAGACTTTATTCAACAACTTACAATGCAGTAAGAGTAAAACAGCTTCTCCTCATCAAGGTGTACAAGCAGACAAGCTAGGGAACACAGCTTCTCCTCATCAAGGTGTACATGCAGACAAGCTAGGGAACACTGGCCACATGTTCCCACTTCCAAGATGGCCGCGATCGCACTTCCTGTCAATGTTAATGCGTCTGACGTCACGTTTCCCTGACGCGTTTCGTCACTTCCGGTGACTTTTTCAAAGGATACAGACGTCTGCGCATCGGCCACTTATATACTACCCTTCCTCCATGACTAGCGCCACAAATCGCCATCTTGGAAGCTGGAAAACAGCCGCCCATACCAATCTGCATGCCCCCCACTCTCACCGAATCAAATAAAACATAGGGAACAATTCATCACAGATTATCCACCTCCATGTGTGCCCTATCCCTAGAGTACATACAAGTACTCCTCCACTGTATAGAGTATCGCATACAATATCCCATATCATCAAGTGACAATACACCAAAAATATCATACATAACATATACATAATAATACATCTACTCAATCTCTTATATCTATATAGTCACTAGTATCTATATAGTATATACTTCTCTGCATCTAAATAGTATATACCTCTCTCCATCTATAAATACATATCAATATCCCTATATAGTATAACAGAAAAGATCCCACTACTCCCTCTACTGGTCATAATCTAAAATACCTCTAATATTAAAAAACCCTTAAAATTACAAAACCCCCAATAAGGGACAAATGGTCCCTTATTACCCATATCAATGGGAAAACAGGGAACCAAGGGAACAATCCCCTTACAAGAGGGAATGGGAGGGCAGACCAGCCCCAAGAAGGAGGAGGAGGGAGGAATACAATATCAAAGAATAGAAAATCATACACAAGAGATGGGAAACGAAAACAAGAGGAAAAGGCAGGAAACATAGGGGAAGGTATTTACAATATTAGTTCCGTGACGTTAACAGACAATGAAATAAAAGTTCTTGACAAAGGTTTAAAGTTTGCTCCCAAAGGAAATTTGAATAAGTTTGATACATATATCGATATTAATAAATATATTAGAAAATTGAATATAAAAAAATATTTTACGTCCCTGCCAGGACCCACCACTTTGGCGAATAGAAATAGTAGATCAGTGTTTGTTCATAGTAATTTTAAAAACAAATCTACGTTTAACCCGGTAAATTCAAAGAATCAAAATGTAGAGGTTTTTTAAACAAATGGTGATAGAGGATCTTCATAAATTACATATATTGAAAGTGAAAGAAGAGATATCTATCTTTCAGGGTTTAAATACTTTAAAAAAAGAAAAAAATATAGTGATAAGACCGGCAGATAAAGGTGGAGGAGTGGTGGTGATGGATAGAAAACAGTATGAGGAAGAGATGGAATTTATCTTAAGTGACTCAGATACATATGTTAAGATTTTAAAAAATCCGATTTTATTATATAAAAAACAATTGAAAAAATTAGTGGACCAAGCGAAAGAAAATAAAATTCTAAATGAAAAAGAAGCGGTATATTTAGTTCCCTCACATTGTAGAACTCCGTTCATGTATATTCTACCAAAAATACATAAAAGTCTGACAAAACCCCCAGGGAGGCCGATTATTAATGGTATTGGGTCTATACATGCAAGAATTGGGGAATATGCAGATTTTTTCCTGCAACCAATTGTGAAAGCGATGCCATCATATTTAAAGGATAGTCGAGACGTGATAGATCTTTTGGAAGGTACAGAGATCTCAAACAATACCCATTTTGTGACAATAGATATTAATTCCCTATATACCAATATTAGGCATCAAGATGGTATTGAAGCTATCAAATGGGGCCTGAGAGAATTCTCAGACTTACACTTGAAACAGAGGAAGTTCATTATCCAATTACTTGAATTCAGTATGGGAAAGAATTATTTTTGGTATAAGGGGGACTTTTTTGAACAGAGGAAGGGTGTGGCAATGGGCGCCAAATTTGCCCCAAGTTTGGCGAATATTTTTTTGGCTAAATGGGAGGATAAGGTCATTTTTGGAAAGGAATGGGAAGGTCTTAAAACTTGGAGAAGATATATTGATGACATCTTACTAATCTGGGATGGTACAGAAGAGAATTTACAAATTTTTTTAGATTGCATCAAAAATAACGAATATGGGCTTGGATTTACTTGTAATATTGAGAGGGAATCGGCCAATTTTTTAGATTTGACTAATTTTAAATATGGAAACAGAATTTGTTTTAAAACCTTTTTTAAGGAAACAGATAAGAATGGTTTTATTCCTACTACCAGCTGTCATCACCCCCAATGGATTCGTGGAATCCCTATTGGACAATTCATAAGAATAATGAGGAATTGTTCAAGATTAGAGGACTATATTTCCCAATCTGAAGTGATAAAACAAAGATTTGTGATGAAAGGGTATAATCCAATGGAATTGGAAAAAACAAGATTCACAATTAGCAAAAACTACATAGGGGAAATGAAGACGAAGGCTAAAAAATAAGACCAAAGAGGATAAAAATATAGCTGAGTATGCGTTTATTTCGAAATTTAATTGTCAGTATAAGGAGGTAGAAGGTATTTTTAAAAGATATTGGCCCATTCTGAAAAAAGATTATGTATTAGGAAATGTGCTACCAACTCAACCCCAGTTTATTTATAGGAAAAGTGACAACCTGAGAAGTATGCTAGTGAAGGGGGTTATTTCACCCCCTAAAAAAACAAGGATGTTTGATTTACAGGGGTTTTACCCTTGCAAAAAATGTAGGATTTGTAGGGTAACTGGTATTAAGGATAAGAAAATTACAAGTTGGAAATCCGTATATACAGGGGAAAATTTTGATATAAAAAAATTTATTACATGTGACACTAAGTATGTTACATATGTGTTAGAATGCCCTTGCCCATTACAATATGTAGGTAGAACCAAAAGAAACCTAGCTATCAGATTAAAGGAACATGTGGCCAATATAAAGAAAGGCAAAAAGGACCATAGTGTTTCACGACATTTCAAAGAATATCATAACTCTGACCCTAGGGGTATTAAGTTTTGTGGTATAGATATGGTGGATGCTCATTGGAGGGGTAGCAATAGGGTAAAAAGTATTTCACAGAATGAGACCTATTGGATTTATAAACTGAATACTTTGAGACCTTATGGTTTAAATATAGAATTAGATTTGAACTGTTTCATTTCAGATTTTTAATCAGATTTTACTGGAAATATTTTGGATAAGTTCTAATCTAATGTTATTTACCTTATAGGAGAATTATATTAATCCTATTTCTATTAAGGGAAGTGTATATGGAATTATGAAATGTATATTTGGACAGATGGAGGTAATGTAATATGATTTTAAAATGTGAGAGAATAATCGCTTGGAGTAATGAATTGATGTATATTTGTAACTGTTTTTATGATTTTTATTTATTAATTTTAGTGATAAGATTTTATGTAATGTATCTTAAGTCAATGTGATGGTGATAAAAAAAAGAGAAATAAATGATAGGTGTTTGACTATAGTAATAGGGAATGTGATTGATAATAAAGAGCAGAGGGGTCAGATATATTTAGATATGTATATGTTTATGATAGGAAGATAATATATTTATTTATCAATATGCTATGAACGAGATTGGTGGTTTTGTAATTTTAAGGGTTTTTTAATATTAGAGGTATTTTAGATTATGACCAGTAGAGGGAGTAGTGGGATCTTTTCTGTTATACTATATAGGGATATTGATATGTATTTATAGATGGAGAGAGGTATATACTATTTAGATGCAGAGAAGTATATACTATATAGATACTAGTGACTATATAGATATAAGAGATTGAGTAGATGTATTATTATGTATATGTTATGTATGATATTTTTGGTGTATTGTCACTTGATGATATGGGATATTGTATGCGATACTCTATACAGTGGAGGAGTACTTGTATGTACTCTAGGGATAGGGCACACATGGAGGTGGATAATCTGTGATGAATTGTTCCCTATGTTTTATTTGATTCGGTGAGAGTGGGATGGCATGCAGATTGGTATGGGCGGCTGTTTTCCAGCTTCCAAGATGGCGATTTGTGGCGCTAGTCATGGAGGAAGGGTAGTATATAAGTGGCCGATGCGCAGACGTCTGTATCCTTTGAAAAAGTCACCGGAAGTGACGAAACGCGTCAGGGAAACGTGACGTCAGACGCATTAACATTGACAGGAAGTGCGATCGCGGCCATCTTGGAAGTGGGAACATGTGGCCAGTGTTCCCTAGCTTGTCTGCATGTACACCTTGATGAGGAGAAGCTGTGTTCCCTAGCTTGTCTGCTTGTACACCTTGATGAGGAGAAGCTGTTTTACTCTTACTGCATTGTAAGTTGTTGAATAAAGTCTGTCATTTATTTGAATCTACCATATGTAACTTGGATTTTCTTATGAGGAGAATGGAAGATATAATACTTTATTGGACCTAATATTGGATGGATTTCTACAGCTAAGGAGATCTATATCTAGCCCTGTCTGTGGTTATAGAGGGTAATTATCCATCTTACACAAGGAGTTGGAGATCACGGTTTTGGTTGGGGATGTGTGTTTGATCACTTATTGCAAGTGTGGTGTCACGAAGTTGCAGTGTCATAAGTGTCACAGACTCACATAGTGGATGTGATTTGTATTTGTCACACTGGTCATAGATTTGGTGACACGGATACCTATATTAATAATATAGGCTGATATTCACATAGAGAGTTAATATATATATATATTTTTTCTTTTTTTTTTTTTTCCTCGTTTGCTTGAGTGTTTTCACAAGTAGTGCATAGTGCACTGTTAAGGGCACGTGTGTTTCGATTTCTAAAAAGGTATGACACTATGTTAAGTTTTTTCTTTTTGAGGTATATGGGCATCAGAATGTACGGGTGTTGAGAAAAAGGATTTTTTCGTGGAAAAGAAGAATAAAAGAGACTTTACAGTACACATCATCGTTTACAATCGTTAACAGACCGTTGAATTTACAGTTGTTTTCTTAACGCACCAAACCTGCGTTCAGGAGTAGATTTTATCAGCGTTTCAAACGCAAAATGCTTGTAAACGCGGCTAACCGTGTTTATAAGCGTTTGCGTTTATAAGCGTTTTTTAGCTGTTCCATTTCCAGATGCTGTCCAGATCCTTTTTTCATCATGAAAAATGCATGCAAATTTCTTTTCAAGGTACTCAAATGGACAAACACTGAACACAGGATGTTTTTACCAAGCTTGTCACACATTGTAATGACCAATTCACACCTCAGACCTCTCCCACCCTTGAAAACAAAAGATATGTTAATGACCATTCACACCTCAAATTCCTCACAAAGATTCCAGGTGGCCTTAATGACTCCCTCCACCAGACACCTTTCCCACCCTTGGAAACAAAAGAAATGTTAATGAGCCACTCACACTTAAGCTAATCTCAACACATACTGCTGTATCTGCTTCTACTCTCTGTATTTTTCTGAAACAGTGTGAAATAGTTAATAAATTTACCACTTTCCAGTGCATTCTGGGCATTTGGGAGGTTCTCCTGTGCATATCTTTAAAAAACACTTCTAAAACGCAAATGTGCATAAACACGGTATGCAAACGCAGCTAAACAGACTTTTTTTAACCTACGTTTTCTAGAAGTCAGTTTCCATCATTCAGTAGTGTCCCGTGTACATGGGGCCTAAAAACTGATACTTCCTGTGAAGAAACAACACATGCCACAATCCCTGGGTCCCTCAGTCCAGCCTTGGTACAGGTGGGAGTTAAATGGTAGATCCAACAGAGAACAAGGAGGCAGATAAATTAACAGAGAGATCACCATGCGAGAAGAGATGTAGTTGACCACATTAGCACTCCCATATTGTTATACAAGACAGAGGAAGTGGTGAGTCATGGAATGAATGTTGTGTGACCTAGAACAAGAAGTCGCCTGTCCCATTAGCGAATAGGGACAAGCTAGGTGAATGAATACATGGACATATGAGAGTCAATCAGCCAAAACACTACAAACTGCAGAAACAACATATTAGAAAATGAGGTAAGGCAAACAGCACATGGAAAATGATTACACTAAATACCTATTTAAAACAACAAACACATTTGAAAGTGTACAATCATTATTATACAGGTTTTATATAGCACCAAAATTTGCAAAACAATATAAAAGAAAGAAAGTACAGTTACTATAATATTCAATACGAGAGGATCAGGAGGGCCTTGCTCATGAGAGCTTACAATCAATGCCTTTAAATGTACATAATCTGTGTTTGTTGGAGGAGCAGGCCCATATTTATAGCCCAAAGAAGCAAATCCAGACAAAACCTGGCAATACTGACACAACCAGTGGAACTGGGTAGGTGAGAGTTGAGAGGGTGGACATTTTGCACAGCTCCATTAATGGGTGACAGTGGTGGCCCACCATATGATATAGAGCATGCTCATCTGTCATTTTATTACCCATTGATAAATAAGCTCACATTTGTGTTTTTTTTTTTTCATCTTTTGTGATACATTCAAATGTTTTTGAAATATGTTCTCTCTTCTTTTCCCAGGATGTGCTGCTGCCACCAACCGGTAATAAGAGATTCTGGATTGGGCTGAGCAAAGTCTCCGGGACTTGGAAATGGGTGGATGAAACCGTCCCAACATTTACGTGAGTGGTATACTATAGTTTGCATGTACACATTGTAAGGAATCATTTACACTGTGCAATGCTATTTTTATTGTGTGAGGCCAGACAAATAAAGTTTGAATACATAGTTGTGGTAAGCTACCCATTGTAGTTGCTTCCTATTGGATAGCCACAGGTTCTCAAAGATGTACCTGACCGAGAAGTGAATATGTTTTTTTCTGTTGCTTTAACTGCTTCCCAGCCACCCTATAGCAGAAATACTCTACAGGGTGGCACGGGTGTGCAAAATCATGTAAATATACATGATTTAGCATTTCCACCATTTGCAGCCGTGGCCGGTAATTACTCGCCAGCGCCCGGTGATTTCTGAGGATCTCTGACAGGGAAGAGGACTGTTTTGTTTACTAACAGTCCTCCTCACTGTCAGCTCGAGCACACTGTCAGATTGCTGTTGGTATCAGTATCGCAATGGGTTTATCCAGCGCCAAGAGCAAGGATGTGGAACTGCACTCTCCTCCCCAGCAACTAACCCATATGGAAGAAAAATATATTTGAAATATATTTTAAAAATATCATTCCAAAATATATTGACATATTGAAATGCTACAATTTTGGCCATATTCAATATATTTCAAAATATATTTCAATATATATATATATATATATATATATATATTGCATGTTAAATTGCATTTTTATTACAAAATATATGAAAAATATTTGTAAAAATACATTTCAAGTATACTGTATGTCTTTAAAAATACAAATCTACATTTTTGGAATGCATTTACAAATATATGTTAAAATGACTTTTTTATATGTTAAAAAAAAATCTGAAGAATATGTTTTAAAAAAAAAATATTTTTTAAATATATTCTTCAGATTTTTTTTTTAACATCTGCATGTGCAGAGTGACTCCTAGAGCTCTGTACTATCTATTGAGGACAGTAGAAGAAGGGGAGGATCAGAGAAATCAGTATCAAACAGCCTTTTCACACAATGCAGAGGATTAACCTTTTAGGTTCTACAGTGAGTATAACAAGCATGCCTTACTGCATATACAGACTGATTTTGCTGATGTGGGTTTAGTAACACTTTAATTACTATATAAATACTTCTAGTTATTAGACCTTTTCTGGACAGCTGTACACACTAACAATTTCTAACAATTTTCATTTTGTCTTCAGAAACTGGAATCGTGGTGAACCAAACAACTATGATGCTCGAGAGCATTGCACAGAGATGATAGCAGGGGGATGGAACGACTTGGACTGTGGCAACACCATAGACTACATCTGTGAGAGATTGGCAGACTGCTGAGACACTACTGCTATATGCTCATCTGTTGCTCCTTGCTCTGAGTTCACCCTTCCATCCATGGGACTCTCATCCATCCTTCCGTCCATGGGACTCTCATCCATCCTTCCGTCCATGGGACTCTCATCCATCCTTCCGTCCATGGGACTCTCATCCATCCTTCCATCCATGGGACTCTCATCCATCCTTCCATCCATGGGACTCTCATATGTTAGTTTAGCTGTTAAAATTCAACTGAACCTTCAATTTAAAGTGGAGCTCCACCTAAAAGGGGAAGTTCCGCTTTAAGGACTGCTCCCCATTAAGAATTGGCACCTTTGGGGGGCAGGGGGGGAGCAGGTAACCTAATTTGACAGGTACCCGCTCACACTTCTGGTCCGATCGCCCTAGGCGATCAGAAGTGGAAGGTGTCCTCCCTCCCTGTAGTCTTTTGGGACACGTGACAGGTCCCAGAAGACTACAGGACCATTCATGAAGCGCAGCGCTACTCGCACTTGTGCAGTGGGCACCCAGCTGTGAAGTCACAAGCAGTCACAGCCGGGTGCCCACACTGAAGATACTGGCCTCCTGGAATACAGGACGGCCGGTGAAACAGGCTGCGGGGGACACACCGCAGGACCAAGGGACAGGTAGTCAGCAGCTACAGTTTTTGTAGCTGCTGACTTTTATGTTTTGCCAGCTTGAGTGGAACTCCACTTTAAAGTTGAACCAAAGATACCTCCACCTTCCAGCGATTTGACTGTTAAATCCTTCGCCAGCCACCGACATCTTTTCCCGAGTGCTGGGTCTTCGGCTCCTTGATTGTCTGGCAGGAGATGACGTGACTCCTGTGCATGCACACGGGAGTCATGTATTCTGGCATCCCTGCAGTGTGCCAGAAGCATCCGCTGAGCTGCCCATGCGCAGCTCAGTATTCCTTCAGTATAGGATTGTGAACAGGCAGGTAATGTTTGTCTTATAGCAGAAGAGACATGGTATATCTCTTCTGTAATAAAGAGCTTCCTGCTGCTATGGGTTTTTTTTTTTACAAGTCATGGATGGTACAGCAGGCACATATCAGGAATATGGAATGTTGGGTTTACGTATGCTTTAAAACCTCCATTCAAACGAAGGCAGAAATATCATGGTAAATGCAACAAAAGATATCAAAATGAATACAAATGCATCAGATTCCCATATGCACTGCCCCATGCTCCCCTTCATAAATATATATAAATCTTGTCTCTTTGGAATCGTTTGGCAGATGTGAACCGAGGCCGCCAAATACTAGAAGCTTGCTTATAGTTTTTCTCTGTAGTTAACCATTATACCACATCTGGGACACCTCCAGATTTGTGTCCTTTGACTTCTATAGACTGTGTGTTGCTTTTTTCATGTAAATAAGCCCAAATGCGTTTTCCTGTTGAATGAAAGGATAAGCTTTTTGAATAAACGTAAAAAATGGTATATGATGTACATTGAAAATGTATTTATTTGAAATATGAGCCTCAGAGCCTGCACTTAAGGCTACAGATTACTCTCCAGCAGATCTGCAGGTTTCCTGTATGGACAGGGCACCTGTGTTTTTAAAGGATAAGTTCACCTTTCATAACATGTTACATGTTACACCCACATTCAGGGTGTAACATGTTACGATCAAACCAACCCCCGCTACCTGCCTTGACAACTATCAGGGGATCCTCTCTCCCGCCGCTAGCTGTCAAATGTGAAAAATCTGTGGCCATGCGGGGCTCTGCCCGCTCCCCCCCCCCCCCCCCCCGCTGCATCACACTCATTCACAGTCATCTGTGAATGAGAGACTACAAGTCCTGACAGCCATAGCAGCTGTCGGCTTGCAGTCCTCATTAAATACCAAGGCGTTCCACAGCTGTGCTGTGAAGCGCTGTGGTAGTTCAGTGATTCTTCTTCTTGTCAGTATATTTGCTTACCCATACATCCTATATAGCAAGCAGATATATTGACAGATCTGCAGGAGACCTGCAGAGCACCAGTGATCTTCTGAATATTGGTGCAATGCTTTACAGGCTCTTGAAGACAAAAATAATAAATGCACATTTTTTTACCTGCAAAAAAAGTGCATTTATTATTTTTTGCTAAAAAGTGAACCTATCCTTTAACGTGGTTGTAAGCCCTTACATATACCTAGTGAAGTGACTGGCCTCAGGAGATACACAGATGTAAAACAAATCCTCCCACAGATGTGTAAATGTGTAGATGTACCTGTCTATCTCTAGTCTTCTCTCCCCTACAGCCATTCAATGTGCAGAATTTATAAAGCTTGTCTGAGAGTTCAGAAAGCAGGGGGCGGTGAGCTGAAGTTGCACTCTGCAGAGCTCAGTGAGGAAAGTTCTGATTGCTGATTGGAAGGAAGAGACCCCCCTCCACACAGCTCACAGGAACAGAGCTGAGGCTGTCAATCTGCTGGGGGTCCCTCCCCTGTTACCATTTTTCTCCTGGTGTCAGGAAAACTTGTCAGAAGTTATTCAATCTGATAGCAAAGGAAGGAAGCAGCAGACAGAAATGACATTTAGTGCTCTTAATTTAGACAAATACACACTATAGAGGAAAATGCTTTCTTCTATTTCATGTCTGAGGTTTACAACCACTTTAATTTTGGATTTTGGATTTTATTTGGAGTTCAACAGAAGCTAAGAGAACCTACAGTCATTTTAGTACTATAAATGAACCACTAGATGACACTGTTACATGTAAAGTACTGTGAGTTCATGAAAATTGACATATATGGGGGCTTATTTTTTGGCACCTTCCCCTGACTAAATGTATCAGTCAGGTCGGTCCTTATTAATCAGGGACAACCTGCAACCAAAGAAATCAATTAGGCCTGGTTCACATCTATTCGTGTTGCATTATGCTGTGGGAAAAAGAGTCCCTGACCCCTACCAAGAATACAGGGACTGAAAGCATCCCATAGGAAACCATGTTGAATGGCCTGTAGCGTGTTTCTGCAAAATGCAAAAAGCAAAGAAAAAATGCATAAGTGTTAATCAGACCTTGAAGGTGATTCTGCTTCCTTCAATCAAACTGGATTTGCAGTATCAGTGTTAGATCAATGAAACCTTTTAAAACAAACACATACAGACCAGTGAGTGGTTAAAGCCAGAGACACCATTCGAGATTGTGGTCATGGGATGGGTCCTCATACAGGCTACTTGACAGGGCAATCTACTCCTCGACCATCCATCCCAGAACCCCTCCCTTCCCCATGGCAGATAGGCTGTTTTATGCATAGTATGTGAATGGTTTTAGCTGACAAATGTAGGTGTAGCAGGACTCCTGTGACGGCCACTGACTGGGGATGATGAAAGGTGTTTAAAGTATGGTCACAGATGATACTGATGATTTGAGTTCTTCTCCTGCTTGTGCAGAGGCTGCCAGAACACACAACTCCATGCACATGGACCTGGTGGACAGTCTAGGGGCTGTCTTTCCAAGGTTAATTGTAGAGAAACCTGTAACACAGGAGGGGGGTGTAGGAAATGGGATAAGTACAGGTTTTAATGAAGAGGACTAGAGATGAGCGAATCAAACTTGGCGAAGTGGAATTTGTTTCGAATATTAGGAAAAATTAGATTCGCGCCGAATCCGAAAATTAGCAAACTTCGGATGCACGAATCGAATTTTCCCCGATCGGCCGATTTTCATCCCTTCTACAGCCGGCAAAAAGTGTCCCTGCAGAGAGCTCCGCTATTTCTGACAGTTCTCTGACAGTTCCTTCACATTTACAGCGGTTGAAACATTGTATCTATTTGTTTCCATTTAGGATACAGATGTTTTTATTCTGGTTTTGGCCCCATGACTGCCCAAATGAGTGAAGTGTGCGGTGATTCTAAGATCGACGGCACTCATCTGCATGTCATACTGACTGACAGTATTATTTCTCTTCCCCAGCAGACTCCAAGGGCATTTAAATTAAAGGTACAGTGTTCTGCACTAATATAAAGGCTCTCTGAAGCCTAGAAACCCTTTTAATAAGTTAAATTTGCAGCGAATAAATTCGCATCGAATCAAATTTATTCCGCAAATTCGGCGAATCAGCCGAATCTAATTTTTGAATAATTCGCTCATCTCTAAAGAGGACACTAACTTCACTGTCCTGAAAATGTATTTATTTATTTCAGGTACTTACACAGTGCTGTCAATTTACGCAGCGCTTTACATTTTTATTATACATTCACATCAGTCCCTAACCCTCAAGGGGCGTACAATCTAAGGTTCCTAACTTACATTCATACATACACATACTAGAGCCAATTTAGACAGGAGCCAATTAACCTACCAGCATGTCTTTGGAGTACCTGGAGGAAACCCATGCAGGCACAGGGAGAACGTGCAAACTCCAGGTGGGAGGTGCCGTGCCTGGGATTCAAACCGATGACCCCAGTATTGCCAGGTGGAAACACTAACCATTTAGCCACTGTGCAAATAGCACTTCTTGACCACTGAGGCTCTTGAGACTGGATAGAAAATACAGATTAAGGGTCGTTGCCCAATCTGTACACCATAAAACTACATTGGCTCTTATCACTTTGTAGCACCAAACATCACCTGGATCAGCAAACTATCTTTTACTCAAGGAGCCAAAGGATGACTGGCCAGACTTAGCTTTCTGATGCCTTCTAGTGGGGTGAGAGTAGACTGGAGAGAGGTGAAGTCTCAGAGGTGTTTCTGTAGTTGCAGGTAGGGCTGTTAGGCTCCGCCACAACCAAGACCCTGGTGAACAGCAATTGAACAAACAGCACAGCCTTCAAAGATAGCAACTTTCCCATCTGGTGAACCAAACTCCCCCCCAACCCCACAGTGTCACAGGACAAACTAGGCCTGACCTGATGGGGTACGGTAAGGGGGAGTTGACTGTACCCTCCATCAGTGGCCTTGTATAAAACCCAACTGAACTTTCATTTTAAGGCCTTATGCACACGGACATATATAGATATGGATTATTCCTAGCATATGTAACACTCTGCTAAAAGTGGATGCAGCAT